GCGGAGGCGGACTGGGTTCGTATTTTCTGTCATGGAGGGATTTAAAGAATCTCTGTCGTATCTCGTCGGTCCTTGGATCAATCTACTCAGAGATGATCCCTCATTACTTCTCTAATATCTCGCCGAAATTGCCCATGGGCCTATCTCAGCAGAACTTGCATACATTACCGGAGATTGTTCTTGAATTTGTCTAAGTGCAAGTCTATTCTTGGAAATTCTGGCACCCGTTCCCTCATACGACCTAAATATAACGTCTCGGAAAAAATATTACAAACGTTTACGCCTAGTAGAGGGTTCACAATTGAACACTTTGTCAATGTGCATGTAATGAGCATTTACACGTGTATTTGCTCGTGATTTTGAGGCAACCCCGCATGTTCAATGTTCGACAGAAACATGTAATCTCCTTGAATGCGTCAAATCGCGATCTTACGAACATTTATGCATATGGGATTGCCTAAATATCAGGGACAAATAACACGTGCAAAAATACAATTGCGTTGTATGCATTTTCCCACTAGATTTTCATCGCCAAAAAGCAATAGTTTTCGACCCCTGTACATGCTCTAGAAGCTTGTATCATGTATTGCACAGTACGTACGGGTTACAGTTTGCTACACGAGGGACTAGCACGCCCCCTTGCCACAAACACAATTGAAAACGTCAAAGTCTTATCGGGATTGGAACCCACAGTGCTGGTGTACGTGTACTTAGACGTACGGCGGTGTGATGGTGAGCGAGAATTCCAATGTGTTGAACTACAGAAACAGGTGAAGTCTGCCTTGGTTTGCTCACAGAGGAATTAAATTTTTCCAAGAGACATGCGAGAGCAGGTGGAAATCTGCTTGAAATTAGAGAAATTAGTAAACATCAGCATTCTCAATTCCTCCCAGTCTAACGAAAAAAAGGAGAGGCAGATCGTTTCAGTGAAATTTGAGTTCATTGGAATGTTTGGAGATCGCACAACCATTGACAGTAAACTGATCGTGGAAACAAAACCTCTGAACACGAAACTATTTTAAACTCGTCATTCTCAGAAGAAAATGCTCCAGGTGTGAACTATCTACACATGTCTTCCAAAAAATTAGAATTCCGGAGATTTACTCAACAAAGTAACCTTAAAAAATAAATGGAGTACACGTGTAGAGTGGGATCCACCGCGTTATGTAATGGGATATTTCTATTATCGATGCAATTTTTGCTATAGTTATTACTATGAATTATTATTATAATTATCATTAAAATGTTACGTTATTACGAAAATCAATAAGTACCTACATAACATTTCAAGTACTTATATTACATATCTTCTAACGTTCTAACATAGTTTTAAAAATTCCAACGGCAGATCCCAACCCAAGTTTGTTTCGAGCAAAATTACATTTTCTCTTTTTGTTCACGATCACTTTCAGTCCGGACAAATTTTTGAAGGTGGAATTTGAAGGTTTTGTCATGTCTCAATTTATTTGATATTGCAGCATTTGGTAGGTACAAGGCAGCAGTTTACCGTAATACGAATTCGGTTGGAATCTGCCGTTGTTATCCTGTGCGCAACAATGTGCTCAATATATCTTTGTTAGACAAAAAAATAATTGTAATCAAACGTAGCTATACGGTATTATTGCTCAAGTATTCAATCATTTTTTTATATTAGATTCATTTTGTCCATAATATATTTTCTTAAACGCATAGTAATTCAAATTTCATCACAATTACAATTTTATTACACAAATTGACTGAAAAATATTTCCATATTTCCTCAAGTTAACAAGAATGCTTTTATTACTTTTCTCGATAAACTAATTCTTCAAAAGCTGAATACTAAGAAGATGTTCTGTAGTCATTTCGCCGATGAGACATTTCTTGGGCGAATTAAAAAGAAACTGGGAAAAGAAACCTGGAGCATAGTACAAGAGATTTGAGTTAGGAGTTGACCTACAAATACTATATAAAGAAACATGACATTGCTCGCGACTTATGACATTTATCAAATGACGTTAGAGGACTTCCAGTTTCGTTGCTCCAAACACAATATCAAAGAAAGGTTATCGACATTGATATTCTTTTTGTCAAATGGAAATACTACATCAGTGATAAAATATGTGGTCACACACACGTGGTCGCATAAAAAATTAATAACTGAGAGTTTTTTGAAGATGTTTGCAATTTTAATCACATTATCTGATATATATATATATATATATATATATATATATATATGTATGTATATGTATATATATATGT